TTATTGCATTTTATAGTACAAAACTGATCAATTCAAGACTATGAAATTATTGCGATTTATTGGAGTATTGTGCCAATTTTAAAGAGATATTTACGAATAAAACTTAGCTTCTTTTTAGGACACAGATTTTATTGAAAAAACAAATAGCACTCTTAGATTCTCATTGTATTCTTAGATTCTTGGCCTTCTTAGATTGATTATCACTGTTCGAGTTGCAACAAAGATTTTTATCAAGATTACAAGAAAAAAAATATTAAAATTCGAAGAAGGTTCTATAAATTAAATAATTGGCATTTTTTAGTAATTATGCAAAATTAACTTGCTTCTTTTTAGATTTACGGACGACGATGTAGACGAAATGTACCGCGAGGCGCCAATCAAAGGCTCTATGTTTGACTATTTGGAATTCACTCGAATTCTGAAGCATGGCGCGAAAGACAAAGACGAACAGTAGTGAGAATTTATCTAAAAACGTTTATCGCATATCGTATCCTGACATGAAATCTTAAATAATATTTGAAATTTCTCACACGCCTCTCGCATTTTTCGATTCAGCGGATCTTAGAGTCACGAAATATTATTATGAGTAATTTTTTTCTGATTTTATTGATTAGAAAATTATGTACATACACACCGAACAATTTGAAATCGTAATCTGCATCAGAAATTCTAGTTTCGTTTTCTTGGAAATATCTATTCGTATTTATACTTGTCGAATTTGAAACTATAAGCTCAATAAGTATGAGATAAATTTAAAAGCGTGAGGTGTGTATGTATGTCGTGTAGAAAAACTTTTTTGAAGTATTCAAAAATAACAATTTTTCGAATGATTGCTGTACAGACGGTAAAAGTTAAATATGTAAGATATTTATATACATAATGCAAACGTGTAACTCTGTTGTAGATTCAGCATTTATATTTTAATATAATATTCTATTGCATACGAACTCGTCTTATTCATTAAACCACTTAAGAGATCATTATGTAATAGCATAAATATCTTCATCAATAGTAATATATGTATATATTGCTATTGATAAAGGAGATAAAATTATTTTATAAAAAATATGAATATACAGTTTTGATAATGATTATTTCTCCATGCGCATGAAGAAACGGAACATGTAACCATTGCGGCCAGTGCTCATGAGTGCTTGCCGTAAACGGACATAGCGGATGTCTCATTGTGTCTGTTTGTTAATACTTATTGTCAGTTGTTATTGCTAGAAATTCAGCATCGGATACGTCGAACACCTATAATTTGTTATTTACATAAATTCGTAGTTCTTTCATTTTGGAAGTTCTTTCACAATAAAGTTCTTTCTTTCAGACCCAATCTGCACTAGTGTGATACCGTGTGATACGGGCATTACACTGCGTATCGTATAGACAATGCGCGCATGATCTGTCGATTAAGTATGTAAGGTTTAAAAGTTATTTGACGAACTTTTGTGACGTGATCTAGCCGTATTGCCTCTTTATTCTGTGGAAGTAGAAGCTAATAAATAATAAGAAGAAGAGAAACGCATGATCTGATGAGAAGTATATGAAATGAAACGGAACGACTTCTATGCTCTCCATGCGCATCATGCATGAATCGGAACGCAGTCGTAGGTCAACGCACAATGTTTTGATCAATCTATACAATTATGATTTACGTTCCATGACTCAGTTTACGGCCATTTTGTGCTTAGATTCCGCGAACTGGATTGAAATGAATCGATATCTTAGGGCATAAATTTGTGATAATTATTTAGAACGCCCTTCTCCAATTTAATTTTGATGAAATTAGGTTAATTCAATGTGTTTTTGTTTCTAGTATTTTGCTATCAAGGTAGTGCTGTGAGAAGGTTGAAAACGTATTTGCATTCTATGATGCATCAAATTAAATTCAGTATCTATATTGTATATGCATTCCGATGTTGCGGAGACTTTGGATATTGATTTACTAATGGATGAATTCATTATAAGGAATAATATTCAAAGTTTTTTGAACATTTGCTCCAAGTATCTCAACAAGTTAAACAAAAATATTTATAAGAATTTATTATTAGAAGAATTTCTTTATTTATTATTCTGTTATGATCTTAATATTGAAATTCTATAAAGAAGTCTATAAAGATGTCGTGATGTAAAAATAATAATGAAAATTTTGTTGTGCCCCTTCCCCTCACCGTGTCTAACTCAATACATACCAAATCAACAAGTCGGTGAATCCTGATGGCTAGCAAAAAGAGGAGATACAAGATTACTTACATTTTTTTTAATAAATATCAAAACATGCAAATACTTATGTAAAAAGACTAAAATTTAATTTTTTATTGTACAAAAAACTGTCTTTGTTATTGTGTACAAGAGTTTACGTTCTTTCATATAATAATATTTACAAATAAAATATATAAAGTTGATCTAATTATATTATAATTATATTATAATTATTTGATTATTTAAAGTAATCTAATTTAAAACAAATTAAAATGTTCTAACATAATAAAAATGTTTTTTCAAAATTAATTTTTTATTTAATTTAAGTTCAATCTTAACTTTAACTGAGTTAGTTTTTCGTTCATTCAATTTATAATTTAACTAAATTTTATAAGCTATTAATTTTAACTTAATTTAGTTAAAAAAACATTAACTTATCCAATTTTGGTATTAATAAAGTAAAATGTTTAGTTTTCAAGAAATATAAGGCAGTGTTTCTTTAAGAAACTTGTATCGGCAATTTTTTTCTATTATGTTAAATTTTAATGAATATAAAAATTCAACACAACAAGATTAACATAGATCGATTCAACACAAAGATAAAATATTTTTTATTGTGTATTTGACTAAATTATTTGAGAAATTCGGAATAATTACTAATGATAAGTAGAAACTAACTTCCAAAAGTAGAATATTTTATTTCGATTTCTATAAAATGCATTCGCAAATGTCGCATTAAATATTTGCTAAATGCTAAATCTATTTCTATGTTACATTCGGTGATAAATATTAGAGTTTATTAATCGTATGATGTTTTTGTGATGTGTGTGTGTGTGTGT